ACCAAACCATGTCAGCCAACTCATTGTGGCTCTCGGCACTCCCATCGCCAGCAATGGCCAAGAGAGGCTGCGAGGACGATGGCGAAGCACAGGCAGTATAGTCCTCCGTCGTCGAGAGAGTACCATCCTTTAACGGTGAACGCTTCGCAAGGCCACCAGCAATCAGAGTCGAGCTCGAGCAAATCCTCTTCACATCATACCTACCAATGTCGAAATTCGTCACTGCACTCGTCCCCCTGAACTTGATTGCCGCTATGTCATAGGCCTCCGCTGCCTCCTCTTGTGTGCCTTAAGAAGCATAAACAAAACTCCATCATTTTATTAGTACCCAAAATCCAATCTTTAACAATTAACATATATAATCTCAAGCTAAACCAACTAATTAATTCACTTATCGTTACTTACTAAATGTGCCAAGGTACAAATCTTTATTTCCCGCAACCCTTCCAATTCTAGCTTGCCACCTTCCATGTTGATGATGTCTGACCAAGAAAAAAGAAGACATTTTTACTTTGTTTGAAGCATTAATCAATTAATTATGTACAACAACAAAAGCAAAATAAAAGATTTTTTTCCTTTTTTAAAGTTAAATATATGTATGGTTTTATCTTTAATGTGTTGCCAATGATAATTGAAAAAGACTGCAGGTGGGGCGACGTGCATTAAAAAACAAGAGAAACTCCATTATTAAAGTTGCCTTTTGGGCTTGAGCCATACCTTGTTACTCCTCTGTACATTGAAGCTCCTCTTGAGAATCCACTGCTTTTCCTGTTTACAAAAAAAGGACCATTATCAATAATATAAAAACACACAAGGGAATAATATATAGTGTTCATCAATAGCATTGGAATCCAACAAGATGCCTCAACAATGCCCCGAAAGCAAGCTCGATTTTTACATCGCTGTTTACTTTCGTGCGATTGTTATCGCCACCGAGCAACGACCAAATTAAACAATGTTATTCGACAAGAACAAAAGAGTTCCAATATTACCTTCTCAAGTTGGCTACAAACTCCTGTCGGGTCATGTTCTTCATCTCTTCTAGCTCATTTTCGTAACTGCTCAGCTGAAATCATGAATAAATAACAACATCATTTATTCATTGTTGTGAAATCAACCAACAAAAAATAACTTACCGGGAAATTAATATGAGTTGTTGGACCCCAATATTTGAGTGCAGCTAAATCATAGGCTCGTGCTGCTTTTTCTTCCTTATCATAACCACCTGATTAATAAAACACGACACATAACATATACATAGTGAATCGAATTCTCCATCTAAAATAGAACAAAATTTTGAAAGACGTTTCATAATCCTTGCTCAAAACAAGATTATATCAATTAATTAATAATAAGAAACATAATTATTAAAAAATGAAATAATTGATATGTCTTTTATAGATAATAAATAATAAATAATAAATAATCCATAGATAATAATATGAGATGTACCATCTTTAATGATATGTGTGGATTAAATAACAACATAATTATTAAAAAGGGGAAGACGTAGGTCCATAAAAGAAAGAAACAAAGACTAAATAATAATAATAAAGAAAAATGGTGGAATTAAAAGGAAGCTAAATACTTGAGTCTTCACCTACCAAGATAAACTGCACATTTGAATTGATGCCACGAAACCAGACCACCCCACCAACAATTTTTGCACAAAAACAAAAACAAAAACAAAAACATCAACAAACTGTTCCTTTAATTTGTCCTAAATAATCGAAATCTGATCTCATCTGTTCAAGTTTTTTCTTACCTTGCCTTCCCTTCCTTGTTTGGCCCTCTTTTCTACAGCTGTTGTCCCATAAATGTGCTTCATATCTCCCTGTCCATCTATGCCTACACCCATAAAAAAGAAATAAAAAATAAAAAATTGATTCTTTTTTTTTTTTTAAAGATATTGGGTAAATTTGGAGAGCAAAACAGGACCACACAGCAGGAGATTATTATTCTGACTCAAAAATTTAAGCTAATGAATCGAGTAAAATTTATAAGATTGAAAAAAGGTAAATTTAAGAAGAGCAGCGTACCTTGTGACACCGCGATACTGAGAGGTCCTCTGTCCGAAGGTGTCGATGGACTTTCTAGGAACTGGTTCTTTGAGCAGAGGCTTGGCTACCGCCACCGCCACGGGGCGTTTCCGGGAATCGGCCGCCAATGGCGGCGGCGAGGGCAGTGAAGCGATGTCGTTTATGGAGGTGGGGCTCATGCCGAGAGACAGCGACTGAAACCCGCACTCATTTTCCGCGCTCGGCGTCGGCCCCAACCACGACTTGTAAATTGCGTTATTATTGTTAGGAATTAGAGTTTGATGATCCGCCTGGCAATCGTAATTATAATTACTATTACTATTATTATTATTATTATTATTATTATTATTCGGCTGAATAAAGGTATTATTATTATTATGCGTCTGCTGCTGCTGTTCTGGATTCTGGGTGCAATAGCCGCCGCCTCTGCCCTGATCGTTGGGCGGCGAGTTTGAATAGCAATTGCCCAAAAAGTCCTCAAGTTTTGGACTTTCCTCTTCCCCATTCTCGTACGACCTCCAATCTATAAACCCAAAAAAGAAAGAGAAAAAAAGGTGCAGGAAATTAAAGACGAGGGTAATTTGTTTAATTATCGATGTTGTGTGCTCTGTTTTTGTTGGTTGGATTGAGGATGGAAATAACAAGAATACCGTGGGCGGCGGCGTCGATACAAAGAGATCCGTCGG